ACTCTTTCCTCCTCCTCTTGCTCTGTCACTTCCCTCTACTTGACTATTTCTCACCTCACACTTCAAGTTTTCTCAAAGCCGCCATGTCCAGCACAGAATTGCCATTCAAAGGCGTTTTCATCTGCAGTCTGCTAACGTGGACAGTGTCATTGTGACACCAGGGTTCATTTATGTTGCCAATTACTTTTCTTGCTGCCTAGTCCCTTCCATTTCTACCTGTCTTTTTGTCTTTTATCCTCTCTCTCTTCAGGTTTCCCCAAACCAAACACCGTTAATGAACCATGAAGCTGACATCTGCAAGAAAGCAACAACTACATTAGTGTGAGTGGCTGCAACATCCCAAATCTCTGCCTTGTCACCTGTCACCTCCCAAAGAGAATACATAAGTAAACGGGACAAGAAGAGGGACAGGAAAGTGAAAGCTTTTTCAAGGAATGAGGTTTAGCAACTTCATGATAAATGTGGATAACTAGGTAGCGCTGTGCTTTGGCTGCTATTAAATCTTAACAGTTTTTAAAGGTATATATAAATGTTATTGGCAAATAGTAATTTCCAGCAGAGCACAATGGATTCAGGTAACCCAGGGGTGATGAAAGGAAAAAAACAAGATGAGTGACGTTTATTAGATTGTATCTAAATGAATCTACCACTCTCCTCTGTCTTTCTCTCAGAAGTTGTTTCTCTCCTCTTTCATATCACTGCTGTTGTCGAGGTACTGTGACGCTGATGCGGTGTAAATTGATTTCCTGGAAGATGTGATGGATGAATAGAGAATGAACATCTTCATCGCTGACCCCGACGCCGATTGCTTCTCCCCCTGCCCGCTCAGATGATTGACAAGGCTGCTAACGAGTGCCGTCGCCAGTCGTGTTATAATTTCGCTATGTTGAAAACAGCCGAGACTCGGTCCCAAGGTAATGAGCTTCTGGAAGAGAGGGAGGAGAAAGGAGAGGAGAGGCTCACCCTGAGAGAGGTGAAATAAAAGAGTCGGAGTAAATAAAAAAGGAGACAAAGCACATGAAAGTAGATTAGAAAGAAGTTGAGATTATCATTGACTTGAGAGGGGCCGTTTCATTGTTTATGTGCTGTTTTGATGGATGTCTTTCAAGCTGGGCTTTCTAAGCTGCAGTGTATTCATTTCTCAATCGCTGAGAGGCCAGGCATTTCAAAAGGCACCATAAAACATGTTATTTGCATTAAAAGTATTTGATTTAAAAGTGCTGCATGGTGCAGATTGCGTATCAGAGTGTGCATGTCTGTACATATTCAAGCTTCTGTGTGTGCTTTTAAAAAGCATTCTGTGCATGTTTCATTTGTGTGAGTGTAATTGTTTGAATATGCATGTAGGCATGTGTAAGAGTCATGCGTGTGTTTGTGTGTGCATGTAATTTATTCCTCCACATGGGGGCTTAGGGCAGGTCTCTCTGTGTTTATTCGGATGATTAGGAGGTGACAATATGTTGCTGATGATCAGCTTTATAATCAGCTACCATCACAGATTATTCTAACCTTGATTAAAGACCTGCAGTCTCCCTATCATCTCCCAGCTCAGCCTAACAAGATAGGATGACGCTCTGATTAATGCCAGAGAGAGCCTAGTCATGACACAAAGGACAGGCCTGCATCACCACAGGAGGACTGGGGAAGCTGTCACGCATCATACTTTGTTGCCTTTCTGATTTGTCGGCTTGATACAGGACCTTTGTCTTAATTATTTTTCTTTTACAAATTAATCTGTGTGAGACTGATTCAGTTTTCATTATCAATGTTGTTGACGTCTGCCATGATTAGATATCAAAAGGAACGTTGCGCCAGAATGTGACTGCTATGCATCCATGTGCCAACATAACCACTGTCTCTCCCCTTTCACAATAACTCATAAACTCATCAGCAAACTTTCTTTTGTCTGACAATCATTAGTGTGATGTGTGCGCATGCACTTGTGTGTGTGCGGGGGTTTGTTTTTTTTCCTGGCAAAGCATTTGATTCATTACAGTGCGAGGTGTTGTTGAGGTCCCGGAGGTGTGTAGGAGAGGACTGGATGAATGAGTCGCTCTCACAGGTTGTCAGATGACGAAGGCACTGATCCAGGGTCTGTGGCAATCAACCGGCTGGAGGCAGGCACAGCAGCCTCTGGCCTTTTGATTCGGTTTAGCACTGAACAGCGTGGCCCGGCCTCTCTGTGTCCCTCCTCCACCAGAGTTGGATCATCTCATACTGTTGGTGAAAACAGTTCTCCAGTTTAGCAGCAGTGTCATGCTGAGGGGGAGGTTCAGTAATCCACTGTTATTACTAAGCAGAAGTTGCATACTGTTTTCTTTCTAGAATTTGAATAAAGGTCGTCTTTGTCATTCTGTTTGACTTTAGGAAGGAGCACCGAATGTTCCATCCATCCCTTTTTCCTGAATAATTCCATTAAAAACAGCAAAACCGGGTTTAATTGATGTCCCTACTAATATGTTTCAGAATTCCAACCAAAATATCAGCATGAAAGTCTCTATTGTGCTGCTTTGCAGCACTTTAATTGATGTAGCTAGTGTTATCAGTCGTTCAGGGCCCAGAATGGTTTACCTTCATATTGTGCTTGAACCCAGGCCCTCTTTAACAGCTCAAATAACAGTAACCTGCTTAACAGTATTTATCAGGGTGATACTTGAAACATGATTTTAGAAGTTCTTTAGAGAGAACAGATTTTTCTTTAGAGATATTTCTAAAACACAGATGCCTGTGAGGACAGCTTTTGATTGGATTGACATTTTTTATTGACCTTTAGCAAATAAACTATGTTGTCTTGCTTCAGAAAACATGAGAAGAATGCTAACATTATAACCTAAAGAATATGAGCCCATCAAAAATCTTAAATATAATAAAAATATGTTATATTTGATAAATAGTATATACAGTAATTTAAGCATGAATCAAATGTAATTCTATATTTAGTTCTGTTGCCTTCTGTGTCTCCATTAAATAATGTGAAAACCATCTCTGAATAAAACTGTAGTTTGCCTTCATCAAAGTACCTGAAATCCAGTAATGATCTATACTTAAGCTTGCTCTCTTTCTCTACTTTTCATGTATCTTTTAGGACTGTATGAAACTTGACCGCATTATGATTGTAGTACTGCCAACTAGTTCTCCATAAAAATGATCCTTATGGGCAAATTACACCATCTAAGCTTAATAAATGTTTACAACTAAGAAACTAAGTATCGTGCACTGTGATGTTCTCTTTTTGCCTGAAATGTTCTTGTAGCCAGGTGCTCTTGGCGCCACACTGCGCTGTGGGACAGTCTAAGTGGAGGAGGTCCAGCCACTGATTGTCCCTTTCGTCTTTGATATTAAAGGCATTCTAGTGAGAATAATTTGTGTTTAGTGCCCTGCTGTGGATAGAGCCATCCTGTTTGACCATCGAAGCTGACCTAATTCATCCTCTCTTAAGTGCGTGTGTGTGTGCACGCTTGTATTTGTGCTAAATGCAGAGTAGCTGTTGTGACTAGCTGGTCGCACACAGAGCCTTGCTGTTGTTGCTGAGAGAGCCTGTGTGTATTTTTGAGGGCCACTGAGTATGTGACCTCTTATCCAGCATCCCCAGAGCAGCAGCTCAGCGGGCGGGTAATTCATGCCGAAGCCTGGCCGCCCCGCTGCTCAGAGCACGTGCCCCCTCCGAGCACCCTCCCCCGCGTGCCCCCTGACCTGTGTCTCCATGGCGATGGGGTGTCCCGTCACAGGGCGCACCTGGCACCTGGCCACCCCCTCATCACTTCTTCTCTCCTTTCTTCCCTGAATCTCCCCCTCACAAGCAACAACATTTGTAGATGGGGGTCCATAATGAAGTTTCACATATTCATTCAGGAAACAGCAGGGAGTGGTCCAGGCCTGGAGTGTGGTCAAACTGCTACAGTGGCACAGTTTGCTGGCTATTTCAGTTCTGGGATTTAACACTGGGAGGCCAAGTTGTTACTGCAGGACAGTTCAAAGTATAAGCTGTTGTTTTTTGTCTTCTTGTACTTTAGCCTATGCAGTCTTATACAGTGTTAAGCACTTACTATAATAGAAGTCAGTAATAAGTCACTTGAACACTTTTTTCTGTTTTGATACAAATAAAACATACATGATTCAAAGTGTTATTTTGTCATCTCTAGAGATGCTAGGAGGCAGATTTGGTTACTTTGGACAGTGGCAGAGAGCCTAGCTGTGTCCTGTATTTATACCAAGCTAAACCGACTGCTGGTTGTAGCTTCATGCTGTAATTAGCGTATATAGGAAGGGTGCAAGTTTTCTCATCTCTCTGTAATAGTGTTGATTGTCTTAGAACAATGAAAGTGATATTAGCTGGGTTAAAAAGTTAGCCATGTTTTATTGCATTTAAGGTACTTCTTTACAGTTTTCACTCCACCATCTCTTCCTTTTTTATTTCCACCTCCAGACATGATATCACATGGCCACTGAGTCAGCGAATCACTCAGCTTCTGTCTCTTCCCTCTCCTTATTACATGCCAATTAGCCACACAAAGTGGTATAAAAAGGTGTCTAATGCAATTACCCTGGTTAGGATGTTTTAATAGTGTGCTGAGCCCAGAGATGTATGTGCCAGCTATCCACTGACATTAAATCAATAATCAGCCTGCCATGCCTGCTTGTTAATTCAGCGCTTTGCATTTTATTCCTCAACATGGTAAGATTGATTATTAGTAGCAGGGGTTTTGAAGTGGGGAAGAGGTCTGTAATGATATGTGTAATGGAGTATGGGCTGCATTGCTTTAATTTGCATGGCAGGTACTGACTGAGATTTTATCTGTGGGATACTTGTAGGCTCTAATTTGTTCAGATAAATTGGGATATGAAAGAACAGTAGTTTTATTGAGTGTGTGTGATTGTCTCTTCACACATACATACAGTATGTGTATGCATGTGTGTGCAGGAGAAAAGAGAATGTGTCATGACTGAATGACAGCATTTCCTTTGTTTCTTTGTCTTTTTAAGTTCCCACTGCAGTCATAATGCATTAGCCAGCATTCATCTCAAAATGATCTGACTTATTACTCCCTAAAAGCAACAACTCATTATATCTCTCTATTTATCTATATATATATATATATATATATTGCATCTTATTTATAAAAAGTCGAGGTAAAAGTCAGTCCTACCACTTTTCTTTTTTCTGTTTTCCTCGATAAATCAAAATAGTTCAAATACTTCCACCTCACTTAGAATAAAAGACCCACAGCCTATTTTTTTTCTAGCGATGCAATCAGGAAATGGATTATTGGATAATTTTGGCAATGGTGGAATAAGTACTCAGATCTTAGTCCATCTAACTTGAAACTAGTAAAAACACTCCACCGTGATGGAGGTTGATGTTGAAAAAGCTTTATTATTCACGCATTCTCGTCACTGCTAACATTATTTGGGTTCCATTTATCCACAGACACATCCTGGCATTCCCCTTTCTTCATTTCCAAAATCCCCAGCATTTGTCGCTAAGTGTGTCCCTACTTCTCAGAAGCTGAAAGTTAAGAAAAGTGTGTAAATGTACTGTTATCATTTATCATTTTATAACTCAAATGGAAGGTGCAAAACTACCTGCTCAGCCTTGGAAGAACAGCATGGAAATCAAGATGAGGTTTTCATGAACGTGACAGAATCTCAACACTTTCCCCTGATGCATAAAGTGTAAGTTTCACCTATGCAATTCAAGGTTGTGAATAATGTGTTCTTACTAAACATTTTAATTAAAAAACATCCGTATATGGCAAATCACAGAATCACGGTGGCTGCTTTCTCATCCCCCCCAGTCTACCTCCCCTTCCCTTCCAAGCCGGAGTAATTCTACTGCCTGCGATGCAGTAATGCCTCAGTTTCCTTAAAGGCAATCGCTGAAAGCAATATTAATCATTGTCTAGTGCTGGCCCTCCTTCCCTTGGTGTTTTGCATCTTGCAACATCACTTTCAAACTGTACCTTCAAATGGGAGTGTGACAAAGTGGTTCTAAAGGACGAGTGGCGCCAAGCATATGGTGGTGGTGGGGGGCACTCCAAAGCCAATCCTGTAAGGAAGAAGAAGCAACGTAGGATGGGGAATGGGTTGGGGGTGAATTGGGGAAAGGAATGCAGAAATGAAGATTATCATCTAGAAGTAGAAGCACCTTTTGTGTTTGTTTCAGACTTTACTTTTTGCTCTTTTGCCAGCAACTTCTTACCGACTTTCACTCAGTGGATAGGGTTCACTTTTGCTGTGCACATGACTATAATTTCCCCATAAAGAAAACAAATTTACTTCTGCAAAGGAAGAAAAACCAAAGCAATTGCACTTAATAACTGTGTCTTCCACAGCTTTTGTTGAATGCAGGAGAATTGTCATAATAAAGTATGGCACTCTGACCTGCATACAGGCATTAATAAATCAAACATTGATTTGGCGCTAAGTACCTGGCGAGTGTTTGCCTCGCAAACAAATGAATGCCTCACCATGTTCCTGTTTGCTGGCTGCCTCTGATTGGTTCTGACAGATATTCAGGCATTTGGTGGAGTAATTAGAGAGCCTCAGGGTGTGAGCTGAGGAGAAGCCTTCAGAGCTGGGTTACTTCAGTCTTTCCACTCCCTCTCAGGTAATTGCTAGCAGCTGCACAGCTAGGGAACTGAGCCTAAAAGAGCCTTGCATCACTTTCCCTCTTACCCTGTCCTTGCCATCATAGCCTCCCTTATGCCTCAGATCCCCAAAACAACTCAGATGTACCTAATGCTGCAACAAGCTGGAGCCACAGCTAAAAGGTACTCGAGTAGCCAAGTAAACATTACAAATTTAGTTTATTTACAGTGTCCTAAAGGAGTAAAGTTAAGAGCAAAGAAAAAGTAGTTTTGTTGTTATTGTATGAAATGAAAATGCACTTCCAGCTCTTCCTCTTTAGAGAACAAAAAGGGAGTTTGAAAAACAGGAGTGAGTGTGATAAAAGCAAGTATTTGTTTTGGTAACATTGCG